CCTGAGCCTGACATGGGGTTGGATCTCCTCAATGATGAGATCGTGACCTGAGCCAAAATCAAGAGTCAGATGCTTAACTGACTGAGCCATCCAGGTGTCCCGAGGCTGGGAATGGTTTCCAGAAGACTCGCAGGGAAACATGTGAAGAAGGCCTTTAGCTGCAGGAGATTGCAGGAGGAGAGTAATCATGTGCGGTTGAACACAATAAAAAAATCAAGTTTGCCTGCAGAATCTGTTATGGATGCCATCATGTCACCACCCCAGGGAAATTATTCAAGGACCTGAAAGACTGGGTAGATCTTTTCAATAGCACATTGTCATTAGTCTGTGACAGTGTTATATCAATACATATGGCAGATGAAAATATGAACCAAAAGTTGATGAATCTGGCTAATTGAGAAAGTAACATATAGATAGCTCAAGTTAACAAAATGATTTATTTAGTCTGGGTAAATAGGTAAAACTTGATAGTTCACATACTGTCTGAATAAGATAATTGCCAAATGTCCATTTCAATCTGAATTGCATCAATATCACTACAGCTGAGTTTATTGAGGTTTCAGAAGTCTTCCTTGTAGTCATAGTTGTTGGCCTTTGGTGATGAGGATGGCATGGGTTCTCACCATCCCTTCATCCATGTTAGTTCAGCTTGAAAGTCTTGGTTCTTCATAATTTTAAGGTTGTGATAAAGAACTTTCTGGTACAATCTGGAATGTGAGATAGGCTTTCGGATACAAGAAACTCCTGGGGAAATGTGATTCTCTACCATATGGTGCTATCATGTTTTTAGCATACTAAAATTAAAAAAAATTTTAGAGTATTCTGTTTATCCCATCTAGAACTTGAAGCAAATAAGGAAGAAAAACCACACAAACTAATAGTTTGAAATGATTTTAAATAGCTAGAATTTATGTAATAGCAGACAACTTACACAAAACCGTGTAATAGAGTATCAGCGTATACAGATCAATAACACGATGAGGAAGTGTTTATTTTATATTGTTCTGGAGACCTCTTAAAATGAGAAAGAATTCCTTAATAATCCAAACTCTTCAATTCAATTTAGAAAATGTTTCAGACCTTTTCTGAGAAGCTCCTGGCTTTAGATCCTGTGTAGGTATGTTAGTCTTCCAGGGCAGCTATGACAAATTACCACAAACTGAGTGGTTTAATACAATAGAAATTATTCTTCCACAGTTTGGAAACTAGAAATCTGAAGTCAAAGTTTCAATAGGGCTGTGTTCTCTCTGAAGACTCTAGGAGAGAATCTGTTCCATGCCTTTCTCTTAGCTTCTGGTTTTGCTGGTAATCTTTGGCATTCTCTGGCTTGAAGACACATCACTCCAATCTCTGCATTGGTTAAAAAAAAAAAAACAAAAAAAACCACGTGGTTTTCTCTCTGTGTGTCCAGCTCTTCTCTTTTTATAAGGTCATCAGTTATACTGGATTAAATATGACCTCATCTTAACCACCTATACCTACAACAACCCCTTTCCCAAATAAGGGGTTGTTTCCCAAATAAGGTCACATTCTGAGGTTCTGGGAAAGACATGAATTTGGTGGGGACACTATTTAGCCCAATACAGGAAGCTTCTAAAGTGAATAGCAAATGACTTCTGTCTTCAGGAAGATGTAGCACCTGCTGTGGTTGGGGAAACTACAGGGCCAAGGCAACGTGTTCAGTTGGTAATGGATACAGAATACCGTGGACACATAGAGGGGTGAGCAACTGGTTGTGAGTCCAGGGTAGACATGGAAGGCTTTAGGGTAAAGGCAGTGGCAGACCTGAAGGATAACTAGTATACCGGCTGGTAGAAAGGGAGGAGCAGGGCATTCTGGGCTAAGGGACTAGTCCGAGCAGGCACGGAGATGGAAGTGTGCATCCACCATGCAGGAAGCTCCAGACGTCTGGGGTGTAAGGCTATAGAAGAGCAGGCCTTTGGGTAGTGTGGTTGCATGTGTTGTGTGGCCATTGGGAGGGGAGGGAGAAGGGAGGAGGGAGCAGAGGGAGATATGAAGGGTCATGGGAGCACAGTCATTCATGTCCGTGACTGACTGCCAGAATGGCATCTTAGAGATGTGAAGTGGTTAAGGGGGGAGTTCAAGGAGAAGCTGAATGACCGTTCCTTAGGGAGCTCTAGAAGGCATCCCTGGACTCGGAGGGCTAGACTGGATGACATCTGTTCTCCCTCTCAGCAATCAGGTTCTGTGACTGTGAGATAGAAGTATTGTATCTTGCCTCTTGCACTAGTTACTATGCTCTTACTTCCTCTCCTCTTTCTTCCTATCAAGCCTCTTCCCCATGCCAGGCACTGCAGCCATAACAGTGAACAGGAAGACAAAGACAGCATCATTTTAATCTTTTCCCTGTGGTATTAGCACAAGGAGTACATAGTAGGTTCTCCTTAAATGTTGCTTTGAATTGAATCTGAGTGGGGAAAAATGACAAGGCAGTTTTGCCCTGGGTAATAAGTTCTGCTTCATGGTTGATCTGCTGTTGAAAGATGATCTCAGTAACCTCTTTATGAACAGGTGGAGAGTAGGTGGCTGCTTACATGTGTTTGGTTTCTGAGTCATCAGAAAGGCTCCTTTGCCTCCCAGAATATCTCCTTCATCCAGGCTGTGGGTACTTTTAATTCTACTATTGGAGGTTAGTTTCCCTCTGTTAAAATGCAGATGCCCTCTGGAGAGAGGATATCCATTTACTCTCAGAAGTCGTTTGCACCTTAATGGGGGGGGGGGGTTTTCTTGGCCTTTTCTGCATGGCAGGTTTTTGAGGAAAGCACGTGGAGGGAAAAGGGGACCCAGGGGATGAGTACTGGACATGCCAAAAGTAAACTTTGTCAGAGTTAGCAATTTGGATAGCTGACCCTGGGGATGTAGTCTCTTGGCTTAGAAAAATCCATTATTACTTATTTGCTGATGTATGTTGGGCAAGAAGTGCTTATTTCTATTGTAAGTTTTATGGCTCCAAAACTGTTGTTTATTTTTTAAAAGGTGCAATACTAACTAGAATTTAAATAAAAATTTGAAAAAAAAAAATAAAAAAGCCAAACCAAAAAAAAAAATAAATAAATAAAGGTGCAATAAATCCCATCTTCCCCACTCTCACCTCAACAAAAGTAATTTGTGTGGCAGCCTGATTTGTGGTCTTTATGGACAAGGCTATGCTACATACAGTTTGTGTGTTCATGTATCAGGGAAGGCTAATAATATCTACTGTACCAAATATCCTCCAGAATTTTGGTGGCTTGTTTCAGAGGTTTCTTTTTTCATTCACATCATAATATGATTCAGATTGATTGGGAAGGAGAGGGTGTTCCACATAGTCTTTCAGGGACCCGGGCTTCTTCCATGCTGTATGTCCACCATCTTTATTACTTGGCCTCAGGGTCACACTAGCCTCATCTGGAAGGTATGTCAAAGGGAAGAGAAAACATACTTCCTTTTAACTGCCTTGACCTGGAAATGATACACATTTCACCTCACATCCATTGATGAGAACCAGTCTCAAAGACCCACCGAGATGGGAAGAGGCTGGGAGATGTTCAGGAAGAGGAAGCAGCCTTGGTGAGCCTCTGACAACAGGTCATCAGAAAGCATTTACACATTTTCCTTCTGTCTGTGACATAACCTGACCCTTGGGGGTTGTTATTAAGGGAACAGGGAGCAAGAGAGACTAGCAGTGACCTGGAAACTGTCCAGTATTTAGAATGGTGAAAAGTCATTCATTCTGCTTGGTGAAGGACATCATCCTGCTGTTGGATTTTTGCTGTGTGAGGGAGACTGCGGTTTGCAAAGAGATGTCTCTATTTTGTTTGCTTGTTTATTTCCTTTTTCATGGAAGTAGGAAAAGCTATAGGAATTTGGGGATTTTGAATGCAGTGGCTTCTATAATGTTACATTTCCTCTAGTCCACTTCCCTCATTGGGATGAGAGAGGCAATTGTCTGGATGAGAGAGGCAATTGACTTGTCCAAATTCATATAGCAAGTTAGTGGTTTACTTTAGTCTCAGACCTGTTTTCCAGATTTCTACTCTGGTGTTCTTTCCACTACTGCTATTCCCTTGGAGAACCACTATTTGGAGACTAGACATGCGCTGCCAGGGTCCACAGGATGATAGGAGGCTTGATCAGGTGAAATTGGAAGCTTCCTTGTAGCTTGGAGATTCCTTGATTGTGTTTGAATATATGGTGTCTGAATGTATAATCCCTGGCCTGATGGGAGTGATGTAGTTTCCAAGAATTTGTAACTCTCCTGAGAAAACAGAATCTTAGCTTTTTATTCTTCTCATTGTGTCTTTAATACTTTTTTATCTTTTTAAAACTGTTTGTTTTTTAAATACATATTTTTTCTAACTGTAAAAGTAACAATTTCAATTTTAGAAATTAAGTAAGTATATTTAGATGTAACAAAAATATATACAAATATAACAAAAAATATTCTGTAATTCCATAACTCAACAATGCAGCAGTAACAACTATTAATATCTTACTTTTCTATGTGTGTTTCCTAGCCATTTATTGAATAAATAAATACTTGTACACTTATGTACAGTATAATTAGAATGAAATATTATACAATATGAAATAAATATTATACAACTCTTAAAATATTTCATATTACTTAATATGAAATATTATATAACCCTTAAAATTGTTTTAAAATAGTAGTGGTATGAAATATGCTCATATATATTTGTATACTTATAATATAATTAGAATAAAAATCTAATTTTATTTGTCTTGCTTGTCTTTTTTTTTATCTGCTTTTTAATGGAAGTGGGAAAAAGCAAATGGAAATTCATATACCTTGGAATAAAATTCAAATTGTATCATGCATAACTGTACAAATATGTATGAGCATTTCTCCATATCATGACTTACATTAAAACATTTTTTAATGTTTTGTGCTGAAGGAAACAGCCCAGGCAGGGAGGAGGGAAGGAGCAGTGGTATCTTTGGATCTTGGCCCTCATGCTCTGCTCCTCTTCTCCCAGGGCATCAGCAGCCTATTCAGCTCACTGAAGGTTGTCCGGCTGCTACGTCTTGGGCGAGTGGCCCGTAAGCTGGACCACTACATCGAATACGGAGCCGCTGTGCTGGTGCTGCTGGTGTGTGTGTTTGGGCTGGCTGCTCACTGGATGGCCTGCATCTGGTACAGCATTGGGGACTACGAGATCTTTGATGAAGACACCAAGACCATCCGCAACAACAGCTGGCTCTACCAACTGGCGATGGACATTGGCACCCCTTACCAGTTTAATGGATCTGGCTCAGGGAAGTGGGAAGGTGGTCCCAGCAAGAATTCCGTCTACATCTCCTCGTTGTATTTCACTATGACCAGCCTTACCAGCGTGGGCTTTGGAAACATTGCCCCATCCACAGACATCGAGAAAATCTTTGCAGTGGCCATCATGATGATTGGCTGTAAGTATGACAGTTGCTGGGGCTGGGTGGGGGATGGGCAGGGGACATCCTGTTTCACCATAACTTCTATTGGTTGGAAATAGGGTGATGGCTACAACGCTCACAGGATCAGGGTGTAATGACTTAAAATAAGCCACATTCTGTTCTTTTTTTTTTTTTTTTTAGATGAGCTTTAAAGTTTTCCTGATAATTAAAGCATTGCATGTTTGCTGCAAAGATATTTAGAAAATATTAAAGGGCACATGTAGAAAATCGAGACCAATGAAATTCTACTTCTCAGAGATAACTACTATTACCTAATAAAGTTAGAATGAAATCATCATATACAACTTGGTAACCTGCTTGCTCATAGAACAGTGAATTGTGAAAAGTCTTCCCACGTCTGTTTAAATACAGCTCTAGGTCTGCACAGTCCCTTATGGTACCAGAGAAAGAATATATGGAAAAAAAGAATGTTAGCTATCTCATTAATTATCTTTTATATTTATTATATGTCGAAATGATATTTTTATATAGGGGGTTAAATAAAATATCCCATTATAATTAATTTCATATTTCTTTTGGATATTTTTAATGAAAAAGTTAATTTAATGCTCCTAGGAATATTTTTTTAATTTTTTTTAAATATGAAATTTATTGTCAAATTGGTTTCCATACAACACACAGTGCTCATCCCAGCAGGTGCCCTCTTCAATACCCATCACCCTCCC